TGAAATATTGTACTAGTTTTCACTGATGAAATAGATAAAGATTTAGAGCCAATGCTCACAAAACCTTTCAGCCAAATCGCATGATCATGCACAAAATACTTAGAGCATCTCTATGAAATCTTCCCTGGGGGCTGTTCCTTTCTTCAGATCCTCTCATCCCTAACTGATCTACTTTGTCACACCACTTCAGATACCATTGGCTTCTTTCTTTAATCTCTAATAGCAATCAACACTGAACTGGAAATTTTGACAGTTAACACAGTTCACTTGAGTTTGGTAGGTGTTCTTAATCCTTCTTGTCTCCCAACCAGACAAATCTTTTAGCAATCAAGAACCACGCCTTTGGTTTCTCTATCTGTTCCTATCACAGGTTTCAAGTTCATTAGTGTCTAGTGCCTTCTGGTGACAAAGTGAAGAACTGAATAATTAATAGTGAGAGAGCAGGGAGAGAGGAGAAAGAGATTAAGGGGGAGAGAGAAAAGGAAAGAGAGAAGGAAAAAGAGAAACTAAACAGAGGGAATGTCTTTGTTTATTTAGTTGTTCACCAGGTCTTATAATGTATTCTGCATTCTTTATTTTTTTCTATACTTCCTGGGTCCTTATTCTTTTGACATATAGACTATTTCATAATTCCCTACATATTTTCTCTGTCTTTTTCAAATGAATGCACTCTTCAAAAGACTCAAGTAAAGTCCACTATTTTTTTTCCGCAGTCTTACTACACCACTTACTTCAAGATGTCTTCCTTCTTTGAAATCTCTTGTTGTTGACTTTTTTTTTTTTCCCATAGCTTATTTTTGGCCAAATTATTTTCCCATGAATTCTATTTTTAATATTAAACACTTAAAAATTCTCTCTATGACAAGACTGTAAGACTAGTATGTTTCTTTTGCCTAGTATGGGTCCAGCAAATTCTTGCTAGTTTGATGTTTTAACTTAGGAATAAATTGAATATTCAATCTTACTTAGATAGAAAGGACATCTTTGGAACATCGTAGTAGGCAGGTGACTTCAGTTTTATTTTCAAAGGTGAGTATGATTTATTTGGAGTAATCTCAAGTCAGAAGAAGCAAGATAATATTAGGCTTTGTGGAATAAATGTAATGAGAAGAGGAGGTCTATTTTTGTTGAGAAAGAAAATTTTGCTACATGACTGTAATTAAGGACAAATCAGAGATTAATGATGCATTGTATTCTAGAGCTTTAATTGACATATGCCAAGAAGTGGCTTTCCCAACTTTAAATGGTTTGCAAAATATTATTTCTGTACTTTGTTCCATGTACAGAAAATAATGGAAACTGGGTATGCTATTCAGAAAGTTCAATATTTATTCTAAAATGTGAATTATTAGGTTATAGGAATATTTCATATTCTCTAAAAGAGCATAAAATCTACCTCTACTAATTAGTTTCTTTATGAAAGCCTTCCAGACAATTATAGGGTAATACTACTGGTCAATGCTTTAGGTGCTTTTCATTAAAGGTATAGTGTCACTACCAGATGAATTGCTTCATAGAAAAGCACTTACCACAAAGCCCTATAATGGAAGGTTAAGTGCTGTACTTAATTACTAATTTCAACCTTATTACCTATATTTTGCAGTGCAGGCACTTTAAAAGGAACCAAATATAGTCTGTTGGTTCCTGCTTCTTTGATTATAGGACTTGGTGGTAAAAGCATTAGTCCAGTTACTTTTCTAATGAATAATAACTCAAAAATTTTTTAAATAAAAATAGCCATACCATAAACTAATACAAAAGATATATATTACATCTTGCTATTAAACTCGTATTTAAAAGCACTTGGTTCCAAAAACTTTAATCTAGTAACACTTTAAATTTTTATTCAGAACTTGGGTGTAGTGGTCTACGCCTATAATCCAGTGATGAAGAAGGCTAAAGCAGGAGGACTGTAAGTTTGGCCAGCCTCAACAACTTAGCAAAGCCCTCAGCAACTTAATGAGAGCCTATCTCGAACAAAAAACAAAAAAAAAATTAAATTAAAAAGTTCTGAGGATGGAGCTCAGTGGTAAAGCAGACCTGAGTTTAATTCCCAGTAACAACAACAACAACAACAACAAAAAATCCAAGTGTATTCAGCCTCTATGGCATTATTGCAGATAGATTAAGCTCCAAAAGAAATAATATTTGGAATTTTTATTGTTTATTTCCTACTACAACACCATGCTGTAATGAATGCAAAGCAGATGATTGATGATAATAATAATAATGATAAACTTGGTGACAACAATAGTGGCTCTTCTGAGTTCTTTACATGTTGATCATTAATTTCTGTGTAAAGAAATTTCTCACACGTGTTCTAATTCTCTTGTGGGCAGATGCCAAGTTTGTTTTTTTGCTTGCACCCTTCAGAATAACTGCAGCTTGGCTCACTCTGGATTGATTAATATTACTACAAATACTACATGGGGGAAGAACACTTAGATCTTGGACTAAATATAAAAACATTGGATCTAAAATAACTGTTTCTATTTAGGGTAGGGCAGACCCTGAAGCATAAGAGCTCATTAAAAAATAAATAAATAAATAATGACCAAAAAATAAAAAATAAATAAAATAACTGTTTCTAAAGTTTTGCTCCTTAATTATTATGGTACCTACAGCTTCTAATATCTAAATAAATTTCATGTTGTGTTTCTTATTCTATTTAATTGGCAAATGAGAAATTGTATGTATTAAACAAATATTAATCTAAAAATATAAATTTTTCTTCAAAGAATTAATTAACACTGCCCCAATACAGGTACCAGTATTCAACATGGACATTAGCCTGACACATGAAGATAGGGAATATATCTATTGGCAACTATGCCCAGATCATGGTATCTGGTACATACAATTACAAGCTTCTTAATCACATACAATATGGTAAAATTGTGAGTTATAGAGATTTTTTTTAAAAATGAAGTTTCTACCAAAATACATTGATGAATTAGAAAACTAGATTTGGAGGACCCATGCTTGCAAAAGGACATGCTATTTTTGTCTTTTAGAGATGCACTCCGCATATTAACAGAAAAAGATCCAAGAATGGAAATTTTTACCTTACTTTAACCCATAATTTCCCAATTTAATTTGAACATGACTTCTTCCTTTCCTTTGTAGGTAAGCATTAATAACAACCAGAAAGAAATTCTTCAAGATAACAACATGGGAAGTGTTGATAAGAGCAAAATGTTACTAAATAAAGATAATTTTAAACAACTAATTATTGAAACAAAGCTATCCCTCAAGAGGAAACAGCCACAGAGTAAGAGTAACGGGAATTACCATTGTACATGCTCAGGTCAACCTTTAGAGATGACCACATCCCATGGCAGAGCCTAGACCTTACCCTGCTTTATGTTTTCCTGGTATCCAGGACAATGACTTCCTGTCAGAACATAGGAATTGGTTATTCCCTACCTTAGGAAGATTACCAACTTCCTTTTCTATAATTCCACTGCAGTTGAAGTTTATTTGTTTGTCAAGTACATTTATAGTTGGTCTTCAGTGAATGCAGTGGAGATGAATAACAGGGGCTCTGAAGCATTGAACACATATTTAAATTACTTTGCTTTCAGATGTTCCATTCCTTCATCTTATTGTAGATGGTAACAGAAGGACTATTCACATAATTGTAGTGTAAAATTGTGATAATTCCCCAGGATACCAATTTGGCAAACATTTTATTGATTGCCTACTATTCACTAGTATTATAAAAGGCACCGGACATATTATTAATTTGCTTGCTTTGGAATATTGTCACGGAGCAGGTTTTAATTACATCTAATTCAGCAAATATTTGCAAAGCACTCATCATATAGAATAGGTTGGAAATGGAACTTGAAGATGTAGAATTATACAAATTAGAAAAGGTCTAGAAAAAGCAGAAGGGGCATTTCATTCCATAATTGTGAGTCAATCCTAGGGAAAATTGATATTTATGAACAAATCTGTATTTCATCAAAGTATTTCTTCCATTGAAACAAATAATTCTAATAGAGGAGTTAGTTATATGTATATTTTGGGTATCATTTGTATTGTGAAGAATGAATTTTCACTTTGCACTTTATACTGGGTTATAAATTGTATGCTGTGCAGCAGCAACAACAAAAATTAGCCTGTCTAAAAGGGGAATAGAGACAAATGAGACTGATTCTTTGAGTACCAAATTTTGTACCAAAATATGACAGCAAATACCTTGGCACTTTAAATTTGTATTTTACTTGAAAATAACATATCTGTTTTTTTAATTGAGAACATACACAACTGCAAGTAGCACTGGTTTATTAGATTTATAACCTATCACCTTTGTGTAATAACAGTACTGACAAAACTCTTTGGCATGAACAAGTTAATTTTTATTTTATTAATAATGCCTTGAGATTCAGTTTACACACCTAAAATGAGTGATATGAGCATCACAGAATTCTCCTGAAACTGCACGGTTCTAGGAAGCTGAAAGGCTCCTTTTGCTTTTCTAGCTGTGATGTCTGCTGCCCCTTTCTCCTCTGCTCATGCCCTGCTCTCCTCACACCTCTCCCGGGTTTCTGCTGTGCACCACCATCAAAGCAGCAGTCCAGCTTTACTTTCGCTCAGAAAGCAAATGTTATCCTATTCCCTCCCTTGGTTTTAAATTTTAACTTTGTTACTTTTGACAAAGCCTTTTCTTTGTTCAAATGCAAGGATCCAGTAAAAAGAGCTTTGATATGTTGTGTATTTTTATGTGTGCATTTTTCTGGTTTTCACTGATGTCCTGAATTTTGCAAATGCTAACGTGTGCCTTCAAGTTCGCCTATAAAATGTCATTTGTACACTGTAACAAGAACAGTTTAGGACAGCATTACATTCACGATTCTAAAGTCCAATAAATACTTGATGGTTTTTCTGAAAACCACAATTTGGTGAAACGGACGCAAAACAGTGCTTTGTTTTCCAGTTTTGTTTTGTTTTTTTCCTCCATAAAATCTTCCCCAGATACATATTCACTTGCTTACCTGCTGGGTAGCGCTCGATCACTGGCCAGCTGTCCACCTGTAACGTGGCATTGCCACCACTCCTCGTGAAACGGACCACATGGTACTTCCCATCATTAATGATTGCATTGGACTCTTCAATAGCGATGTCATCTGTCCCGACATTAAACTTAACTCCAATTTTTCCTTGGTGCTGGAAGGGAAGAAGAAAGGAAACAAAGAGGTGTATTCAGTTGAACTGATTAATCGGCATTTAAGAAGAATTACATACAAGGGATTGTTCAAAGATATTCTTTGGACAACAGCTGCTTTCCTCTGATTTTACATCTGAAAAACACCTCATAATATAAGCAAGATTCTTGACATTTTGGTAAATGTGAGACATCTCTTTCAGGGATAATTGATATTCCCAAAGACACACTTTCAAGTGAATTGAGCTGCCTTTTTCCCAGAGGTTGCCAGAGAGAAATATATAGCTGTTGCATGAAGCCACCTCTTTTATTGTCCTTTAATAGAATTCCTTTAATCCACACTCCTCATTTCACAAGAAAAGTGAGACTGGAAACCCTCCGTTTTAGTAACTAGTGGCATTGCAGCAATGAAATTTGTTTAGAGCCAAATGACAAATGCTCACAATGTACAAAATTATTCTAAAGGGTAGGGGCACAAAGACAGGCCTTTAATGAGTGAACTTTTTAGTCATTATTCACAAAACCAAGGCTCACAGCCTCAAACTGACTCAGTTTCTTTAGTTTACAGATGAAATTATCACATTGACTCCCACAAGGTCGAATGACTTTTAACAGAAATGTGGAAGTACCAAAATTCTGTTTTCTCATTTTTCAATGATATCTAAGCTGAGATGAAGCTATGATACAGTTATCCAAAATTAACTTGCTCTCTGTATTAAGCAAAGTAACAAGGCGAATCTTTCAAAGTATAAAGTTGTGGTTGTTAACTTTGGGATTTCATAACACAAGGTGGCGAAGAAACATGTGCTCATGTCCTCTGCCTCTGAGCAGCATTCTCTAACAGCAGGGCTGTCAACTCCACCGTGAGCTCAGTTGACTTTTAAAGCATTTGGGCTTGCCCTTCATCAGTAGCAGGAAATATCTGTGCTGCAGGCCCTTGTCAGAGGACATAACTTCAAACTGTCCACCGCTCACCTTTCATCAAACCCCAGATGGGAGAAACCACATGAGGGGAGAGGGGTTTAAGAGCCACACAGCCCATTCTTTCCTGTAGAAATTTTAAGTCAGAATATTAGAAGCCTGAAGGTTTGGACCACATTCTCTCTGCTCTTTGCTAGATTCTCATCATTGAAGGAGGCAGCAGGAGGATGACTTCAGCTTGCCCTGGGAAGTCTTATAAAAAGTCTTGTATAAAGCTGCATTAACTGAAGGGAAGTATTGAAGATGTTATTTGTGACATTGCTCATTATGCTCTTACTGCAGATATCCTAAAAGTTGTTTTTTAATGTGTGTTAAAATATAGATACCTATGCACAAGGCCCTGGGTTCAATCCCCAGCACCATCAAAAAAAATATATATATATATGTATATATATAAAATATTGGACAGTTTATTGAAAATAAGGAAATGTAAATTTTGCTAACATAAGAAAATCACCTGAATTGTTAAAAAAACTGAAATAATTTAAAATAACACCTATTTAAAAGTAAGAATGATAAAAAATATGTTGAGAAATAAAAGGAGGTCCAAGAGAAACAATCTAACAAAAGTCTAAATAACTATTAAAATTGCTCTATTTCCACTCTTGAGTTTGCTAACAATTGGTTATGTATGTAGAATTCTGAACACTTTATAAATACTAACTCTGGCAGTACTCATAACAGTCCCATGAGAGAGATACTATTTTATTTCCATATTACAGATGATGACATCAAGGCCCAGAGTGATAAAGCAACTTGATTGAGGTCCCACAGCTAGCTTACAGATTTGGTAAATCTGACGGTTCTTTGCAACCTGTTTGATCTCTCCTGTTAAAGTAGAAGCACCATGGGGTCTCCTATTGTGGTTTTAAAGTTTTTTGATACATATCACTCAATGTATACTTAAAATAATTTCATAATGGAGAGTAAGCAATGGATATGTGAATTTATTAAGTTGTTAAAAGGTGGATGCTTTTTGTTGCAATTTTAGCTGAGATCTTAAGAAGATGAAAAAAAAAGAAAGATTGCTTGTCCATCTTACAAAATTAGGTATAAAATTGCTTAAGCCAGATTTGCAAAGGAGAGCACTGTCAACTACTTTTAGGGCTCCAAATCTGGTCCATCAAAAAAAAAAAAAAAAAAAAGGAGGAAAGGCAAAGAGGTTACTGATAATTAGAAGAGGATTTGAGAAGAAAGTTGGGATGTGATGGGATTCACACATACTTCCAAGGTGAAAGGGGACTTTTCCCTTATCTAAAGTACAGGGGAAGGAGGCTTTAATGGAACATCTCAGAAAGTTTGATATGCATCTTCTGGGATATGGCAGCAGTGGTTGCAGTAGTTAGAAAACTGGGATCTAATATACCTGAAAAATCTTCAAGGGAAGAAAACTCTGTGGCTTCATGATACCCTGGGGGCACAGCAAAAAGATATTACAGCACTGGAATCCACTTGTGCATCACAGATAGGACAAAGGACATTACCTGTGGCCAGAGATTAGAGAGCCAGTACAGAATACGTGGTGTCCTGCTTAGTAGAGCCATGGAAGGAATGAGGCTCAGGGCTGCAGAAAACTTACTACAGGAAAGAACTTGAGTTTGCAGTGATGGATATCCAGAGATTGAGGCAGAAATCCCAATGGCCATCTGAAAGAGGTGCATTTACCCTCCTCAGGGAATTTCTTGTTGTTTTGTTTTTTTTTTTTTTGGTATTAAAGAAGGCTGCTTTACCATTAAATTATATCCCCAGCCCTTTTTATTGTATTTTATTTGAGACTGGGTCTAAGTTTCTGAGGACCTCCATTGGTTGCTAAGGCTGGCCTCAAACTTTCAGTCCTCCTGTCTTCGCCTCACAAGTCTCTGGAATTATAGGAATATGCCATTGCACCTGGTATCAAGGGAATTTTAAGAAAGGAAATTCTAATAATGTTGGTGAGAACTCTGAAGAGTTCATTAACATGCCTCCCCAAAGTGCTCTCTCAAGAGCTTCAAGCACAGGTTAAGCTAGTGGGTGAGATGGCTACCATTGGTATTGGCCAAAGAAGGTCATTTCTGCCCTTATCTCTTCCTGTTTCTTCTGCCTCATCCCTGGAGGATTTGGGAAGGGGGAAGAGAAGTGAGATTCATGGAACTGAGAGAAAAAAATCATGCTTTTCCCCCCTGTACAGGAGGCCTCTTCAGTGTGACCAAGTAGGGATAATAGAGAGGGCTTAACAGAAGATGTAAGTTATTTGTTATTGTACAGCAGGAACTAACTGAAGTTACTTTTTATGTCTAAAAGTGAACAGATGACCTTTTTACTATCTAAGAATGACTAGAGTAGTGCTGAGACTCTGCCTGGATGTCCCTAGGGTCAGGAAGAAATATTCCCACAGAGGAATTTAAAATTCTTGGTGCATTCTAAGAACCAACCCTTGCAACATAACAAAGGCATGAAAATAATTGTTATCCTGGAGTTGACCACTGTTTG